GTACTAGACACTTTCTTTACAACTTGGATCTTTCCTGGAATATGTATTTGTCTTAAAAGATGACAGTTTCCTTTCCAGAAAGCTCTAAGCTTACACTTGCAAGCATTCAATTGGTAGATCCTTATCCAGACCCTAACCCTGGTCATAATGAGATGAAGACATAGACTATTTTCTCCCTTCTCCCACCCACTCTCACTCCTGGCCAAGAGCTGGCTGGTCATAAATGTGGTTACTTTAATAACAAGGATCATATCCTATGTTAGTATTTGCTTGCTTGTTTGTTTGTTTACAATGAAATGACATGATTAGTTGGGCAGAATTTTTTAGAGGATTTAATGTCTTCACATTTATAAGGAAAGACTAAATCTCTGCTTTCACAGCAAATATGTTGAACCCAAACCCCTTGGGACTAAGATTCCTGGGGTGAGAGTTTATAAAGTTACTATGACCCTCAACACAACAGAGAAAGAGCCAACAGTGTGACCTGCAACCAGTTCAGACCTAAGCACTCAGTGATAACTTTGAATTTATTCTGAGCCTCAGTGGAGAGGAAGTTCAAAGCCAGTTAGCCACTAATGGGAAATTCACTTTCGACATTCTCTGTTTTCCCCTTTTTTACTTCCATAGTTGCATGTTGAGTTTCTTTACGCAAGCAGACAACCATGGGTAAGCTGAGTTGAGATAATGCAAACTGACCAGGTCAGATCTGTGGTGACCGATAGAAGGCTGGAGAGAACTTCAAGTGGTCACACAATATAGGATCATAGTTTCCTCATAAAATAAGAGAAAACTTAATTTAAAAATTTCCAAAACATCAAAAAATAGTAGAACATATTTATGAAAATTATTAAATTGCAAAGGTAATAATACAGTAAAAAATAACATTATTCATTGATGTGGTCAACAAATGTTTATTGAACACTTATTAAATGGCAGTTGCTGTGCTAAGCACTGAGGATTTAATGATGAATGAGACAGACTTGACCTCAAAGAGCTTTGTTTCTAGTAAGTGGGAGACAAAAATTGCATAGATATGCAATAAGGAGTTATAGGTGTTATGATAAATAGGTGAACAGAAAATTGTGGGGACAAAAGAGGGAATAGTCAAGTAGTCTTTGGAAAGAAGGCAGGAAGGAGATAGCTTGTGTTGAGTTTTCAGTAATGAGCAGGTTTTCACTAAGCAGGTAAAGTGAGGAAAACTTTCAGGACAGCATGAGCAAAAGCATAAAGATATAAAACATATGGCATAGTTGGAAAATGTCAAATAACTTGGGACAAATGGAACATCATAGAGTGCAAGGAGCAAGAGCCAATATGGATTATGCTAAAGAAGTAAGCAGGGGCTTATGAAGAGCTATGAATGATATGCTAAGGTCCTGAGGAAAATGCCAATGAAAAGTTTTAAGTCTCAGTAAGTTCACTCTGGGTGAAATGCAGAGATTAAATATAAGCAAAGTATTAGAGGCTTAGAAACCAATATGGAGGCCATCACAATGATCTGGACAAGATCACAAAGCTGGAATTAAGGCAGGGGTAATGAAATAGAGATGTGCACAAACGTTAGAGCTATTGAGAGTAGAACTGATAGGCTGCTGACAAAAATCCAATTGACCTCTTTTTATTCTTCTAAGAAGTCAAGCTATTTGCTTAAACAATGTTATGTGGAGTGTAAATGAGAAAGACAACTGTCTAAATCTAATCTCATTTCTCTGATAAAGTATTTAGGAGTGCTACTGAGCAGTAATGTAACTTAAATACAGACAAAGCTGGATGGATGAAGAAAGAAGAGCCCAATGCAATGTGAAATAAGCAGTTCTCTGTGTTTGCCAGAGGGTAATGGTTGGGATACAGTTGGTCTGCAGAGAGAGTCTGGTGGGGGTGTTGGGGAGTAAATATCTTGCTCTATATTTTTTTGGCTGTGGTAGTTATGTGACTCTTTACTTTTGTAAAAATTCATAGACATATATATCAAAAAGTAAATCTTACTATATGTAATTTTTAATAGGGAGGAAAGGCAATTTTCAATAAAAATTAGCTTCTAGCAATCTGAGATGGGGTATCTACTTACTCTTGAATATTCCTTCCTTCCTTCCTTCCTTCCTTCCTTCCTTCCTTCCTTCCTTCCTTCCTTCCTTCCTTCCTTCCTTCAACAAATAGTAAACAATGGGCATATACTTCATGCCAGAAACTGTGGGGTATGTTAAATACATCATGGGAAACAGACTTCATGCAGCCTACAGTCTAGTGGGAAAGACATCTATTAAATAAATATTTTTGTAAATTCTATTACAGTTATGTTAGAAAGAAATAATGAAAACTGTATTATGAAAGCATGTAACAAGCTCCCCTGAGTAGTGATATGGAAGCTAAACACTGAAGAATAAGTTTAAGTTGATTGAAGGTGAAGCAGGGTGATCAAGTGTTTAGAACAACATTTGGGAAGAACCTGACATAGGAGTTCTCATGTACTATACACACTCTCACATACCACATGTGCTCCTGAATACCCTACCAAACTTTCCTACTCATTTACACATTACCATATGCTGTGTTTCTCTCTAAAATCCTTTATGCTATGTAACACTTCTATAATGGAAACTGACAAAGGCTTTCTGTAGACTTTTTGTATCTACCATTTACCGCATATGTCACCTCAAGAAAGTCATTTAACCTACTTGTACCTTAATTTTTTCTCACCTGTTAACAGATTTTTAATAAGCAATTAGTACTTTAATATTGGGTTATTGTGAAGAATTCATTGGTTAATAAAGTCCTAAGAGTAGCACCTAGAACATAAGTACTTAATAATAATAAGCTATTATTACTACTGTTGTTATTATTAAAGACCCCCTGTGTTCCTTAGAGAGAAGAGATAGCTATTAGATTCAATTTTTAGAAACAACATAGAGAAATTGCACTCTACCTGAATATACAAACTTTCTATGAATAGGGCCAGTGTCCTGAGCCATAGTATGGGATTCATGACTATTAAAAATGCTATCTCAGCCCAAGAAAGTTTTAGGACCCCCTCCTTGATAAATCTATTACCATTAGAAAGGCTAGTATTTTAAAGACTGACAATACCAAGTATTGAAAAGGATAAAGAACAGATGGGTCTCTTTTACACTGCAATTGAAAGTGTAAAATGGTACAACTTTGGAGAACAGTTTTGACAGTTCCTTTTAAAGCTAAGCATAGACTTACCACATGAACCTGCTACTTCTTTCCTAGATATTTAGCAAAATAAAATAAGAATATATATTCACATAAAGACTGTTCATAGCAACTTTATTCATAATGGCCCAAAACTAGAACAACCCAAATGTCTACCAATAGGTGAATGACTAACAATTTGTCATTAATACAATAAAATACTACTCAGCAGTAAAAATATGAATGAATAAGTGCAACAATGTGGATGAATCTCAAAAACATTACTCTGAGTAAAAGAAATCCAACAGAAAAAAGCACGTAATGTATGATTCTATTCATAAGAAGTGCTAGAGAGGCCAACTAAACTGTGGTGATGGAGATCATATCAATGGGGACCTGGAGCAGGGGGTGGGAGGAGGGAGTGACTACAAAGAGGTATGTACAAGGCAACTTTCTGGTTCCTGTCTTGATTGTGGTGATGATTGCATGGGTATTTACATTTATTGCATTATATGCTTAAAAGTTATGCATTTTATTGTATGTAAATTATACCTCACAAAGTTTATTTTTAAAAGAATACCTGCCTCACTCTTTAAATTAGAAGCCTTATCTTCATCATCATCCTGTAATGAGTCATTCAGCAATATATTTTATAAGGAACAAGTTCATTATGAAGCACACACCAAATGAATGTCTGACCATTCGTTTGTGTTGTATGTGTGTGGCTGGAGAAATAGATGCCCGTTAAACTATTAGAACCCCTGCCCACCATCTCTCATTCTAGGCTGCAGAACAGATTGTAACTTTAGATCTCCTCTTCCTAAGCATCCTCAGTAACCATTTGTTGACCAGTTCCTGAAGTGAGTGTCTGTATAGATTTTATAAACAAGTTCTACTATCTGAAATCTTAACTACTGCATAGCTTAGGGATACATTCCCTGCAAAACTTGCCCCTGTCTCATAACCTAGGTAAAAGTTTCGAGTTTGACTGCATAGTTAACCAGCACTAATGCTGGTTCAGATTAAGCCATGTTAATTACCTTCCCCTGCTCAAGGGCCTTTTTGAAAATTTTAACTTTATTGTTGAAAGTATTTTAGATGCCCCTGTCCCCTTTTTCCCCATTGACCTCCTCCACCCCACTTTATCACCTCCAGGCTTTCACTGCATTATTGTTTGTGTCATGGGTTATGCATGTAAATTATTTGGTTAATCTTTTTCCATCTTCCCTCTACCCTCTTTCTTTGTCAGTCTGTTCCATGCTTCCATGTCTTTGGATCTGTTTTCATCAGTTTATTTTGTTCATTAGATTCCACATATAAGTGAAATCATGTGATACTTGTCTTCCTCTGACTGGCTTATTTTCTTAGCATAATACTGTCCAGGTCCCTCCATGCTGTCTCAAAGGGTAATAGAGTCTTCTTTTTCATGGCTGTATAGTATTCCATTGTGTAAATATACCCCAGGTTTTCTATCCATTCATCTACTGATGGGCATTTGGGCTATTTCCAGCTCTTAGCTGTAAATAGCGCTGCTATGAACATAGGGGTGCATATAGTCTTTCTGATTATTGTTTCAGGCTTCTTAGGATATATTCCTAGAAGTGGAATCACTGGGTCAAATGGCAGTTTCATTTTAATTTTTTGAGGAAACTTCATACTGAACATTGGCAATAAGGTAGCTAGACTTTTCTTGAAATTTTCCAATGTATTGGGACACTGATGGATGGAGCAAGATAACATAAACGAAGGACATTGTTGGCTGGGAAATGGTCATGTGTGCTAAGAGGAGTGCCTCCTCTTATTGGAAAACCTCCATTACTGATCTTGAGTCTTCATAATAACACAGGGTGCTCACTCTGGAAGCACATAGACTAAAATTGCAACGATACAGAGAATATTAATATGGCCCTTGCAAGAGAAGGACATGCAAATTTGTGAAACAATCTGTGTTTTTATATGTGAAATCTTTAAAAAAAACTTCATAGAAAGAACAGATTTGTGGTTACCAGAGGCAAAGGTGGGAGGTAGGGGAACTGGAGAAAAATAATCAAAAGGTACAAACTTTCAGTTATAAGACAAATGAGTACTGGGATGTAATGCAGAACATGGTGACTGTAGTTAGCACTGCTGCACAATACATTTGGAAATCCCTAAGATCATAGATCCTAAGTTTTCAACACAAGGAAAAAAAGAAATGTTTTTCTGTGTGAGGTAATGGATGTTAACTAAACTCATCGTGGTAACATTTCTCAGTATATGTACTTTAAGTTATATTGTACACTAGATTTATACAGTGCTGTATGTCCATGATAACTCAATAGAACTGAAAAAAAAGAATAGCAGAAAATACAAAAAATTCTACCGCAAGCTCAAACTCAGTGTTACCTATTGTATTTGTTTTCAATTGCTGCATTAACAGTTTACCCCAAACTTAGCAGCTTCAAATACCACCGGTTTAGTTCCTCACAGTTTGGCAGGCCTGGAGTCTGGGCAGGCTTAGCTGTGTCCTCTGCATGGAGTGTCACAAGGCCCAAACCACGGCATCAACTGGGTTGGGCTCCTATCTGAAGGCTCTGGGGAACAGTCGCCTAAGCTTATTAGCCTGTTGGCAGAATTCAGTTCCTTGGAAGTGGAGGACCGAGATCCCATTTTCTTTCTGGCTACCTAGAAACTACCTGTATTCCTTAGCTCATGACTTCCTTCCTTCATCTTCAAAGCTAATAATTATAGGTTTAAACTTCTGTCTTCCTCTTCTATGACCAGCCAGAGAAAACTCTGCTTTTAAATGGCTCATGTGATTAGATCAGGTGTACCTGGATAGTAAGGTTAACTGATTAGTAACCTTAATCGCATCCTTTTTAAAATTGTTTTTAGGGTCCCCTTTTCTCCACATCCTCACTAGCACTTATTGTTTGTTCACTTACTGTGGTAGTCAATCTGGCAGGTGTGAGGTGGTACCACATTGGTCACTGATTCAGAGCCTGCTTTCCAGATTACAATAATTAAGAATGAGATGCCACAGAAAATACCAGTTTTAAAGTTAGAGGAACTGTGTTTAAATCCCAAGAATTCAGGAAAAAGAGAGGTCAGTGTGAGCTGAAAAAAGCTTCCTAGAGGAAGTGGCACCTTAGCAGAGACCTAGGAGGCACTGAACGGGTAGGCAAGTGCATGACTGGAGACAAGAATAAACCGGGCGTTGGCTGAGCAGTGAAGAGACCCACCAGGGAGCCTGTCGGGGGGGGGGGGGGGAAGGGGGGGAATAATAGAAGATAGAGACAGACAGGGGAAGCTAATGTACAGATAGCTTTGTAAACCAGGGCAAGGGTTTACATTTGATTTAACAAGCAATATTGAGCATTTGAAAATCTTTTTAGATTACTGTAAGAGTATGACCAACTGTTGAAAATTTTTGGATTGTTGAGAAAAATGAGATTAGAGGAAATATCACTAGAAAGCTATGGGGCAGACTTACTTATCTATTGGAGATACATACAGACAGTCTATGATGAGTGGAATGGGCTTTACACATATTCCAGAAAAAAATAAAGAGAAGAAACAAGAATGGTAAAATGTTTATAATTGATGAAGCTTCATGATAGGTGCATAAGGGTTCAATATATTATTCTCCTTGCTTTGGTGTGTGCTTGAATGTTTCCATAAGAAAACAAAACCAAAAAAAAGTATGTCTATTGTGGTAATCCAGGAGTGAAGTCATGAAAACCTAGACATGGGTGATGGCAAAGAAAATAGAAAAAAAAAAAAATGACTAATTCAATAGACATGTTGACCTTGATAACAGATTTGATGTAACAACTTCAGCTGAAAAAAGAAACACAGCTGACTTATTTATATAGCCTTGAAAATAAAATAATGTTGTAAAAGGAACCTACCCATTGTCAATAAATTCTAGAACTTTAAATAAAGTACCTAATTGGTCTGTATTACTGGAATGTGTATGATAATTAATAATCTATGTAAGTTAAATTTCTGTCTATAGATTTCTTTCTCTGTCTACTGCACCACATGAGAAAGTTAAACAGATTTTTTGTCAAATTTAGGGGGTCTCTCAGGAAAAATTGGCCAGTTAAAATGTAATCCTACTTGGTCTATAAAAAAAATCATATTTTGTGGGGGCCTTAAGTGTGTCTCATTTTTTAAAGACATATTAATGTAGTATATTATTTTTAAAGTTTTCCACAATTTGAGCCCAGACATTCACCTTTTAAAAATATTTTCCAGGATACTTTTGGATAGAAGCACCCAAAATGTCCAAATATTCATTTGTTTTCCCAAGTGATATATTTTAAATTTTCTTGAGATAGACATAAGAAGTTACACCAGATAAAATTGTTTTCCTGAAGATAAATATTTCTTATTTCCATATCTACAGGAGCCTAAAAAAGAGAACTTTTTGAAAAATTTAATATAATTCTGGAAGAAATATTTTTTGAGCAAAAGTGAGAGAGATTTTAAAAGATAAATGAAAGTGATATCTAATGTGAAACACAAATAGAGCCAATTTGGAAAGGCAGACTCTCCAAGGGCAGGCTCCCAGTGAGTCCAATGCCAAAACTAAGAAACCGTGAGCGCCCGAGGAGAGGAGCAGTTCACTTCCAGGGCCTGCAGCCCCTGAGGCTTCCGTGAGAGCCAGTCAAGAGGTACCCCACACTCTTGCACAAGCACTTAAAACTAAAGTCCTGCCTGAGAGATATTTGGCTGCAAATACAAAGGCCACATGGATTAAGATACCCCAAATTGAGAAAATAAACTGTGATCTCAAACTTAATCTTCAAATCAATTAAGCTAAGGGATCTAGCATTATTTGGCAATCTGAAATGTGTCCCTACTGTCAAGCCCAAAGGTACTAAGTTATTTCAACAAGAAACAAATGCTGGATCCAATTACCAAGTCCTGAGAGCTATAGAAGTCTTTATTTTCAGATTAATAGCCTGATCACATCACTTAAGAAAAATAATATCTAGACCTGGAACAATATATTTCAACGGTGTTTGGAAAGTGGATTAATATTTATTGTCTAAAACCATGGATTTCCTTAAATTGACCTTTCACTTTCAAACGTCTGCATTTTCCAATAAGTGCCTACTCTGTTATCATCACAAAGTTGAATGGTTTAAACACAAGTATTTAATTTATGATCATGTTTCTTCCCACATGAGCAACTCTAGGTAGTATGATCCAAAGTAGAGGGAAGGAAGGTTATTCATATGTGTACCAAAGAATAGAATGACTAATGATAATCAAAGAAGCTTTGTTGTAGGGTTCAAATTATGACATCTTTTAGTCATTATAATAATTTGTAAATTATAGCTCAATAATTATTTCACTGTTTCTACTAAAATTTATCCGTGCTAAGTGAGCCTCCTGGTTAATGCCAAACACAGCTAATAAGTGACAGCTAATAAATGAAATGGAGATGCTACATCATACATTAAATAAAAAATTATGTAAAAGATGTTCATAGATTCTGAAGACACACTATAAGATTTCTCAGAAAGAAGTATTCATCTTAATCACTTTGTAAGAGGAAAAAATGGTAGCAGAAAAGATCATTAAGCCTCTTTTTCTGGTATAATGGGCTAAATGGTGTCCCCCCCAAAAGATATGTCTACATCCTAATCCTAAAAACGTGTGCACATTACTTCATTTGGAAAAAGACACACAGAAGAGAAACGGAGAAAAGGATAAGGCCATGTGCAAATAGAGGTGGAGATTGGAGCTACGCTGCCACAAGCCAAGGAATGCATGGAGATACCAGAAACTGAAACAGACAAGGAAGGAGTCTCCCCTAGAGCCTTTGGAGGGAGCACAGTCCTGCCAACCCCTTGATGTCAGACTTCTGCCATGTGAGAGAATATGTCTCTCTTGTTGTAAGCCACCAAGTTTGTGGTAATTTGTTACATACTCCTAGGACACTAATACACTTGAGCATTAAAAACCAGAATGACCTTAGCAAAAGGTCTTTTTTTTGGGGGGGAGGGCAGATTAGGTAATTCCTGCTCTCTCCTTCAAAGCTAGGTTCTGTAACACAGACTCTAGCATGCCAGGAACACAGTAGGCATTCATCAGGTTGCTTCTCCATCCCCACAGGCATTCTAGCAACCCATTCTGTTACCACTGTACAGCTGCTGCCCAGCCACAGATACCCTCCAAAGCCTGCATTTTCTTGTTTAGACTAAAACTGTGCACTAGAACCATTTTCACATATACCTGCCAGAAGCCCTGAAACCCCTGGAAATTCTGATTCAGAAAAGTCTGAGGTGTGGCCAAGGTATCTGTGCATTTATTAAGCTTATTATGCTTCATTGATATTTTTTTCTTTATTGATTTTAGAGAGAGAGGAAGGGAGAGGGAGAGATGGAAACATTGATGAGAGAGAACATTGATTTGCTGCCTCCAGCACACCCCCCACTGGGGATCGAGCCCACAACCTGGGCACGTGCCCAGGTCAGGAATCGAACTGGGACCTATCAGTCCATGGGACAATGCCCAATCCACTGAGCCACATGAGCCGGACTAATAAGCTTCATAAACAATGCTAACGTCCACCAAAGACTGAAACCTTGAACCTAGGGCATTCAGCAGGTGGACTCACTTCCCAGCTGCTCTCATTCTAAAACCCCCTTGGCTGACAGGTAAGGGGACCCTTGTGACAGAGGGAGCAGGAAGCATAGGGCTGGAGGACAGAATAGCATAAGAAAGCCAGACAGAAGTTCCAGTCAAGATGGAGAACTCTTCCCATGACCACACCAAAATTACAGCTGAATTATAGGACAATCAACCTGGAGAGCCATCTGAAGACTAGCTGAACAGAAGTCTTATAACTAAGGATATAAAGAAGCTGCCACCTCGAGACTAGTAGAAGGGACAGAGACCCAAACTAGGCTGGCCCCACAGCCACATGTGCTGGTTGAGAACTGAGAGGGATAGCTCAGC